AAGAAAAATCTGAAAAATCGAGATCTAGCAAGTTAAATAAAAATTTGCTTTCTAAATAGCCCTCGTGCCGAGATCTCTCGTTCGCGAAGCTAGAAAGGAGGTGTCGTTCGGGGACGCGATCGGGAGTTACTTGGGGAATACTTGTGGCGACTGCGATCGTCGAGGGGCCGTCGTCCACTTGCGAAATCGCCTCGAAAGCGAGGGAGTACATCGAGATCGCTCCCGATGGTGGTGATGGTGATGAGAGTGACGGTGGCGGCGGCGGAGACGAGACGCCAAAGTTCGTCGGCCGCGCCACGCCGTGCACGTCCATGAAGCGCACGCACACACGCGCAAAGCGAGCGAGCGAGCGAGCCGAGCGACGTATCCCGACCATAAGCGCGACCATCGACTTTTCTCGTTCACACACGCACGAGAATGCCTCTCGCGCCTCGGCCCCCGATAAAACCGTGTGTACGTTGGACGCGGCCACTCACCTGAATCGCCATACACATTGAATATGGAAGCTACGGTAGGGCGTTCGTTAGCGAAACCGCGACCTCCGTAGGCGACAGGAAACACGCCGAACACTCGCCACTCACGCACGTCCACACGCTAGAGAAGCCCGTGAACAACTGACGAGACGGACGGATGGCGAGACGAGGCGAACTCTGGCGGAAACGCCCGAAGGCACCCGACTCGGCGATTCGCTCCGCGAAGTCGTGGCGCGAAATTTCAATCGTGTTGCGCGCACGTGTATTATTTTGTCGTAATAAGTAAATGTAATGGAGATGCGTTGTAAGTGCGTTGGAAAAAATGAGTATTTATTAAGTTCCAAAAATGCACAAAGGGAAATATCCTGAAAAATTCCAAATGAACAGTTTTCGAAACTTATTCATTGTAAATAAATTGTTTGTATATATCTTGTATCTCAGACAAATTAGACTTGAATAAATCAAATAAAGAGCGATATCAATCATTGCGATTATCTGTTTTTTTCAAATTAAGCAAAAATTCAATTATAAAAATTATAATTTTCTTTGGATTCGCCCTTTTATTTAAATAATGCTTCGGAAAAAATATGAAATCTGAATTTTCCTTATGAGAAAATGAAATTTAGAACGATTTATAAATCTCGCAAATACAAGGTCATTTTTATAAAAAGTGCATCTTCCAAATTTCTCTGACATTAGAATTATATCATAAGAAAATGCATTGCAATTTAATCGATCTCTGTATTTGCTATTCGTCAAAATCAATCGTTTTATACAACAAAAATCAACGTGTTTTATACAACGAAACTTTTTTGCGAAAATCTTAACACATGTATATTCCGATTAAAGAACAACACTTTAATACATAATTAAATTATTATAATTTTTTCCTTATATTTGGATTCGTGATGGATGCGCATGTATATATAAGAAAAAGGAGGGTGAAGGCGACAAAGAGAAAAAGAGAGAGAAAGTTATTTAATTTTTCTATTTTAAGGCAAATCTCAATTTGCGATATTCTCATTCTATGTTTTTAAGCAAAAAGAAATTCTCTGGATTTAAATTTCTAAAATGTTTCGCACTGTTTATGTTCTTTACTTAATATTTCTCGTCACGTATCCTATCTTGCTTTACACAATCAATATTTAATAAAAACAATATTAATTCAGACAATTATAATTATCGAAGATGATTCAAAGGGAAGTGTAAATAATATTTATTTTCATGACCTTGACTTTTCTTGTTTTTCGCTACCTTCCTATCTCGAGTAATCGCATATTGCTTTCACACAAATGTGACAGAGAATTCATTATTAGTTTGTATTATTAATACTAATTTTATAACAGTATATACTTCGCTCATATATTATGGTCCCTACAAAAAATACATTATCTATATAAGCAGTTTACATTGTTGTAATAATCGTATTTACATAACAGTTTTTCAATTGAATGTAATATGTATGTATGTATATACATACTACAAACTTTAGTAAATACTCGATCATTCATTTGTAATTATGCTAAGACACAAGCGCGCGCGCACACACATACACACACACACACACTTGCGCGCGCATAGAGATATATCTTTTTTATAAAATGATTTATTTTATTTATCGTCGCTCCGGAATGTTACATGTAGGAATCTTACTGATTGCAATAAAATGGGTTAAACCAAACGAAAAAAAAATGCTTATAAAATTAAAATTATAGTGCGATAATTAGCAATAATAGTGATAGTGTGTGTGGTAATCATAGTACTTGTAATATTAATAATAACATAAGAGTGATAGTAATAATAATAATAGTAATACAATCTATAATAATTGTAAAACTAATGTTGATCGTGAGGCTAAAGGAAAATATAATTACGAAAATTGAAACTGATGATACAGTCAAAAATTCGGTAATCATAAGAATTATTAATATTACATCATTATCTAAAAACATCAATGTAAAGAGGAAAGAAAAATTCTTACAAAAAGTATTTAAGTAACCTTGTTATAAGTCTATAAATATAAATTATGCATATATAAATTATAGATTACACGCAAATATTATGATATATTCTTTAAAATTGATTACACGTTTCGTCTTCATCTTCTTTCTCATTTCATATACATAGAAATATCGTTTTATGGCAACCTCATAAATAAGATTATATTGTGATGTAATTCTTCTTTCAAATTTTCTCAATATAAATCATTAGCTATTTACAGTATAGTCACTTAAGATAAGATCTGATGCTAATCCGCATCCCTTCCTATCGACATATTAATTGAATTAAATTTGATTTAATATATATTTTTTCCTTCTATTCACAGCACTTGGTATTATTCTCTACAGGCTTCTTCAAAGGTTACCGTTCGGAAGAAATTTATATCACAAAGTAGATATATGTGTGTTTAATTATTTTATATATATATATATATATATATATATATATATATATATATAATATATAGTCATCTATTATATATATGGTATATATATAATATATATAATATATATATAATATATGTAATATAGATGTATACTACGCATGCACGCACGCACGCATCACACACATACACACGCACGCATGCACACGCAACGCGTACGCGTGCATGGAGATCATCGCTATCGCCAAACTGATACGAACGGTCAACTTTGATGAAGTTTATATTAAATCTGAAAATTTTGCTTCTAAAATATAATATGTATTACTATTTGAAAAATTGACAGTAACAAGTCTAGCAAATAAAATTGCATAAACTTCTCTTTCTATCGAAAAGCACAACTATTGACTGTATTTATCATCAAAGCAGATAGCATATAAAGAAGTATCCCAATTGATCGGCAAAAAGCAATTGTAATTAAATCGATTTATGGTTTATTTAGGGCTCAGTACTCTAAAATATTTCACATCATATGTTTTAGGATTCCATTTTGCAGCAAAACAACACTCATATTTCTTTTATACTATAATTTCATTTTGCATTCTTGTGTGTGGCATGTATCTCGCATTTATGAGAATTCTTTATTTTGAGTTAAATTAAAGGTGCCCCCTACCCTCTATAGAATTTCATTCCTGAGTAATTTTATATAGTTTCTTTTCATGTATATCGAAATTTATTCAAGAGATTGTCAGGTACGAAGCAAATAGACTTTCCGTACAGAGTGAATTTTCTGCATAAAGTCACAATTATTCAAGACAAAGCAATAATATTAATCCGAATTATAATCTTTGATTTACCGAGCCACAATGTGCAAATAAAAATACCATCTTCGTTGATTGAAAGCATCATTTGTATCATACAGGATATATGTATATATATGACTTATATGTGTCCATTTTTTCCTCTTTTTCCTTCAGAAACATACTTTATAAAATTCTATTGAAAAGTTACGGAATAAAAAATTGATTAAATTGAAAAAGAAGAATAAAAGGAAACAAAAGATAAGAGATCATATGTGCAACTTAATAATGCGCAATTTTACAATTGCATCTACAGAAAAATATAAGATACAAATCAATACGTTATTCAGAATATAACAGAAGTTACTCGTAATTCATTATGCTCTAATTTTCGTTATTTATCTCCCTACGCTAAATTGACTATTGGTTTCGAGAAATCTAACTCTAGTTATAAAATAAATTGTAACTTTTGTTCTTCACTAGTGATATAGTTAGATCGTTAGTTTTATGTATGGTACTTAGTTCATTATTTTTAAATATACATTTGTCTATAGTCTTGTATTTTTTTAAGGCAGGAATTTTCGTATTTACATTTACGTCATTACGTTGGCCTTTTCTTGCAATGATGCAAGGCTTACTTTACATGATTTCTTACGGACGACAATAGAAATTTAACCGCATTTCTCCATCCTTTGCTCATATCTGTTCTCATTAACGATACACATAGCAACAATATTAATCTAAATGTGCAATGAATAATACAATTTCAAGATTGTACATTTTAAACGCTACATTTATACGTTATACATATCTATTTATTAATACACACACCACACACCACACACACACACACACACACACACACATACACACACACACGATTGTTGTAAAAATTCATTCTCTAATATTATATTTATTATATTATATTTCCTAAAAATAACATATAATTAAATTTGTGACAAATTAATAAATGAATAATTGGATAATAAATAATAGATTGAATGCCTTGAATAATAAATAATAACTTGAATGAATAATAAATTTATATAAATATATCTATGTATGTTACCTTGAATAATAAATCTATATAAGAAGAAATTTAAATAATTCATATTATTTTCTAACATATGTTAATATCATATATGAACTTTTGTCTTCTTCTCGCGGATATTGTTATATTGCCGCTCTATATTTTTTAATATGCAAGATGTAGATATGTGGATAAGCAAATCTATATTATTCAGATAAAATCCATTAGCTAATAAAACAAATAAATATAATTTGTCACAAATTTATACATATCATTAATTTAATATATTTATTATAATTTCTAATGTAAAGTAAACATTAAACATCGCAATTGCGATTTTCGGTTATACCACTTGAAGGTTTAATTTCAACATCTTGCTCTTGTGCAGCAAGTGGTGCTTGCCTCGTATCGGGAATTTCAATTTCCATATTTTTTGAGCGATTTGTCGTCTCGGTTGAACCTTGTGTTTGATTCGACGACCCTGTTTCTTCGAGATTCGTTGATTTTGTAGGTTCTGTGGGCGACGAGATAGAGGATGGTGTTGCAATCTCAGAACTCGGTAAAGTCGCATCACCATCCCCTATATTCTGGTGTGGTTTCTCTTCAAATACTGCGCAACATTTCATATCATAAATTATTATCGTGCTGGACATTAATAGATTGAAATTAAAATATATTGTTCTAATTATCTACGTATTACTTACGTTTATCTAGACTGATGATTGAGCCTACAAATTCATTGACAGTGAAAGATGGTGGTTGATCTTCCATTTGTCTTCTTCTTCTTACGAGCCACCAATCGATCAAAAATAGCGCTAAAGCTAAAATTTTTATCCCAGCACATAGGCCGACATATCTAAAATCATACTCGATGAGTATTTGCATAAAAATAAAAATAAATATTTAAAAAATATTATATATATATATATATATATATATATATATATATATTAAAGCAAAAAAATATAACCTGTATCTAAATTGTTCGATATCGTAAAGTAAGCATCGACCTCCCTTTTCCCCACAGGTGCTCTTCCACAACAAGCATGTAGAATCAATTAAATTGCCGAATAGTATCGGTGCCGGTATATAGCCAAATAACCGAAAGATTACAAACTGCATACCCAAAGCGAAAGATCTTTCTTCTTCAGAAACGGACCTATAAAACAGTCAATTTAGTATATAAAAAAAGCACTTATAGTATAAAGATACTACTTACCGTAATACTATCATGAGCAAAGGCATTTGAGTTACGGCAACAATAAATGTCATAAAGAATAGAAGAATCAAAAATGGAAATATAGTTCTACATGGTGAAATACAAGGACCAGCGGTTGCTACGGGCACAACGGTTACTTCTGCAAATTCTGGAGCAGCTGGCGGTAACATAGTTAGATTGCCATGTATGCCTAGAAAACAAAAAAGAAAAAAAGCTTTCAATATATATTTGGAGATAATCATTTGAAAATATCGATGTGCGACAAAGACTTACATGCGCAATTTGTAAAATTGGACTTGGAACTAAAGGCAGTGCAACCTGCGTGACATGGACTAAAATATGTCAGACCGTTGTTTCCGCAAACCGGCTCGACATCCGTCATACGGCATTCACAACCAAAGTTGCATGCGGCAGTAAGATTTACTTGAAAGGGTTCAGGGCCCTTTGTACTACTGTTAAAGTACGGAATAGTGGTCCCAGCCATTTTTACGTTCTCGCAGCCAAGGAAAAATAGCAGACCGTAACACACCAGGCAAATTACATTTGAGACGAGAACAAATTGCACTGCGCCCTTCGGTCTTAATTCTAAACGTTTGAGCATACATCCGCCAAAAAAAATTCCAATACAGGCGCCTGGTATAGCGACCGAACCCGTAAAGATGCTGGCTTGACTCTTCCCCAAGCTGAATTGAGTTTCGAGATACTTGGGTAAGAATACTACAAAGCCAGATACAATCACCAATTCCATACATGCTCCCAAACATGTTACAACATAGACTGGGTTGCAAACAAGCCTCCACATACTTCGTGGAATATCTGTTGTAAGAAAAATAATATTAAAGGTTTATTAATTTCTTAATATTCAAGATTTTTTAATCCTAATTTATCATGTTTTACCGCATTAATACAAATTTATTAAAGAAATTTTGAATATAATTGATTAATAATGATTTACCTTTAACATCCTTGCCGTAACCGCTATCATTTACTGGTTCCTTTTTAGGTTCTTTTGACTGCTCTTTTTCTTTTTGCGATAATGCTTTATTTTTTTCTATAATTCGTATCTTTTCCTTCTCGCGTTGGAGAGTTTTGGGAAAACTGAAGAAAGGTATCGCTACTAAAATGAGAAGTAATCCGCAAAGTAGGAATCCACCCCACCACATACCAACCCATCTATGGTCTCCAGGATCTGTTCAATTTATATCATGTATAAATTCCAAGATAAAAAATTTAAAAAAAAAAACATACAAAACGAATATATCGAAAAATATTTTTCTTACCGATACTTATAATTGTTCCAGAAAACGAGTCCATATGGAAAGACAAAAGATAAGCTCCAAGAAGAAAACCTAATACCGGTCCAAAGGCCGCCATACTATACATACAACCTAAGGAAAAAAATTAAAATTTCAAATGTATTATTTATCCATACAAATATTTGTATATAATGAACATAAAAGACCCACCGATATATAAAGATGCACTTTCTGGTCTCACATGATCATCTATATAAGTAGTACCAAGAGTAAATAAAGGAGAACCTCCACATCCTAATAGTAACTGAGCAAGTACAAATAGCATAACAGGTCCGGCTGTAGACGGAGATCCCTGTATACAATTATCACCTCTTATGTTATTGTGTGGTGCTAAGGGAGGTGAAGATAACCCTGATGAAAGTCGACCTGTGAAGAGAGATACATTTCCAAGTAAATTTTTAATTAAACAAATTTTCTTTTTGCTTTCTTCCCTTAATAGGGCGATGTGTATATACTTTAATAGGAAGATGTGCACATACTGTTACTTTAAAAATTAATACTAATTTTTACAAAATTGCAAACAACTGAAATGTAAAAATACTTACCCAAACCCATATCTTGTTCACGTAATGAAACACCGCGACAGATATTATCTGAATTGGAGTGGTTTGCGGTAGTCGTCAAGTTTGGTTCTGCTGTGAAATGTGGCACCATAAAGATCATCGATCCCAGTCCCATTATTACTGCACCTAAATCATGAAAAAAATCACGAGTTAATACAATTAGACAACATCTAGTACCCCCTTAGATGTGTGAAAATTGCATTAGAGAGAGATCGGTCTTTTTTTTTAAGTAAAATCAAGATCATACCGATCGCTATCCATACAGGTATGTGTCTGCGACTGCCGAGATAACTGACAAAAATGACAGTGATAACATTGCCGATTTCATAAGAGCTTGCAATGACGCCCGAAAGGCTGGACGGGATCTCAAATCTCTTCTCTATGGTTGTTATCACAGAATTGATGTAACCTGAGCTAAGCGCTTGTTGCAACGTAACAAGGAACGACAGGAGAAATACGAACACCTGCAATCATCATGATAGATAAAGTAAATGAATCAATATAATTTTTCAGCATGTGTCATGGAATACTTGGAAATTACAAGGAAGTATACATTTGCGCAATAGACGTACTATATTTTAAGATGACATAATCCTTGTGAGTAGAGTCTCTCCATATTTTTATCATGTTTTCATCATAACATAGATTTTTGATATCATTGTAATAACTATAAACATGTCATATTTCAAAAAATCGAGTGCCACGAATTTATTTATGCAAAATTCTAATGTATCAAAAATGTTATAATCGAGTCTCTTATGTACAGTTTTAATTATCTTGCGTATCCTTTCAAACGTGAGCGTGAGTCACAAGACTTGCTTTGTACATCCGCGTAGATAGGTACCGTATAAACTGAAGCGGCACTCACCGCTTAAGTGTGACAATGTTCTTGACATGAACTCGTGAGAGAGAAAAAAAAAGAAAGAGATTGCTTATATAATAATATATTATTTCTAAGTAATGTTATATCGCTTTGCGAATGTTTTGTTCTTTTTTTCTTTCGAATAACTGTGCGGCAGGTATTGAATGGGCGTACCTTTATTCCGGCAAATCTCTGAATGAAGGCCGGCCTACAACTTAGAATCCCACAGTCCTTGGAATCCGGATTAAACGGCGGAGTTTGAGGTCTCTCCTTCTCCGTTCTGAAAGAAGATCAAACAATGAGCAAGCGAACGTCTTAAAAAGGCGAGACTCGGCAAATAAAAAAATACGATAAAAAAAACGCGAAATTATGACCAAGTCATATTATGACGTGAATGAAATCAGAGAAAATTATAAACGCAAAATTATAATGCATTCTAATGTATGCAAATGACGATACGTTCTAAGACAAAAATAGTCACTTTTTTTTTTTACTCAATAAGCATAGATACAATTTCTTTTCAAACAAGCGTTATAACGTGTTATGATAAAAATAGATAACAATACAGTAAAAAATTGTGCATCCATATGTTAAAATTTTTTTGTGTTACCCTGTTTTGATTAGTACTTCAATATAAAATTAACATATGTTATAACTCATATGTTATTATTTTTATAACGTTTTTTTCATGTGTTATATTTATGTTAACTTCATCTTAATTTGACACTTTGTATACGTTTCTCTTTGAAATGGAATATTATTTTGAGTATTTTTAACATAATTATTTTAAACAATCAACATGTCTCAAAGTCAGTTTAATATTCTAAGAAAAGTTAGAGTGAATCTTCAAATAATTTTGAAAACTTTGACATACAAAATAATCAAATTTATCAAAATCGAATATTTCTATTACAAATAATTTAAGTTAAAATAATTACTATTATATGTTAATGTCTTCAACATTTCTTACGAGTTATTGCAACTATTTTTTCATGTAACTTTTAATTAATTTGTATGTTATTTTTACATTTAAAATCACAATAACAAAAATAAATGTAAAGTATTGTGTCAACTATTTAACATTTTTAGTTTGTCAATAAATAACATACGACGAATGAGTTATTTTAACTTAAAATTTAGAGTGGACTTTCTGACACACGTGAAAAATGTTACAATTAACATTTTATTTTTTACTGTGTATGTATTATAAATGCACTGGACGCATCGCAGAATAATAATATCAACTTTACCTGTCCACCATAGAAGCACTTGGATTCCTGCTGTGACATTTGATGATAAAATCTCTGAAAAATAATAGGAAGAGGAAAACAAAGCATGAATACACGGTGCTATAATGGAGCGGCGTGTAGAAGTTATCAGTTGTGACGTTAACTGTGATAGCATAGATAGAATTAAACTATCTGTGTGCGATAAGTATAACAAAGCGCGCTACATCTTCATCTAAATTATACCAAGCGATGGAATGAACGTTATTGCGCTCTTGTAATGTCTTTTTCGGCGGTGAAAGTAAAAATAAATTCCGACGTTATGTTTTTCGTCGGTTATATTGGCGCACGACGAAGAGATTTTCGTCATACCTGTTTAACAAATTCTTAGAAACTTTCTCCACTGCGTAAAAAAATGATATACAGAGAAAAATGTATACTATATTCAAGTAAATATGATTTATTTTAAGTATATCATAAGTTTGTATATCCGCAAATATATCACAAGTTCATCAGAAGCATTAAATTTAATTAAATATATTCTGAATTTTAGTAACTGCGGTATTTTAGTCAAGAATATTAAATTAAAAGAAAAATTTGGTTTGCTTACCACATAAAGTAAGTTTGATTTTTTTTTAAATACAACTTTACAATATTCTTGAAGAGAAAATAAATTCTTCTTTTGAGTACATGATAATGAGATTTTCTAACACTTGTGGTGAATATATTTTAAGATTATTATCAAGAATATATTCTCTGAAGAAAACTATTACCTAAAAAAAGAAAAATAAACTGAGTAATCATTTTTCTTGGCAGTAGAATGATATTTTTCTCTGTGTAGAACAACTAGAATGTGTTGCGATAATCGTAATAAAAAAAAAAGGAAGAAGTGATCTGACTAATCCTACTTGACGCACAGCAAAATATGTCATGGTCACCACGTGCTTTCACTTTCCGTCTCTCGCGATCACATAATTGCAATTTCATCGCATTTGCGGCCATGTACTGGAATCATTTCCTAAAGCCTTACCGAGGCGATAACTACATTAGATACATTTCGCGCGACACAATAGTGTGAAATAATACAAAGATTCAACTTTGAAAGACAAAGAATGATACTTTAAAAGTCTTGACAAGTGTGAAGAAACATATCGTTTGAATTAGATTACTTAATTAAGAGTAAAAATACGATCAGAGGGATGTCTTTTCTTCAGCGAATTATTTATTAAGAGACAGAAAGAGAAGGCTAACGAATATCATTAAGAATTATATCGCCTGATTGGATTTTGATCGGGAATCATCCTTGTAAAGAATTCGGCCGCAAAGGCCAAGTTCCCCGCTCACCTATGATCCACAAGGCCGGAACTTGGATTTCTACTGTGACACCTTATGACGGTGTCGTGGGTTAGTCTGCCGTTGGTCGCCTGCAGCGGATCCGCAGTATCGTCGGTACCAGTGCCGGTGCTTTCAGCGTAGAGACCGGTCATCGCGTACATACTTTCATTTCGTCGATGACCGGCATGATAATTGCTGCCGGATTCGGACCTCCTGTGACCGAAAACACCGCTACTGCTCTCGTTCCTCTTATGGCCACTCTCGGATCGTTTGTGGCCAAAGGCACTGGATATACTCTCGGCACGTTTGTGACCACCCTCGGTTCGCTTGTAACCGACGAAACCACCCCCCGATTCGGTGCGTTTGTGCGCAAACATGCTCGAGCTGGAGCCGTTTCTCTTGTGCCCGCTGGTAGACGCCATTTTTTTGTCATCTACCTCTTCTTCTTTAGCGTCCTTTACGAGTCGAATATTACGAGTTTGACATTTTTTGTCGGCTGTAACAGAAAATTATTAATTATTTATATTATAATGGCGCACTTTTATTTATATAATTATACACTGAGAAAAATCGTTTGATTGCACTAACAAGACGTACATGATTGAAGGCATTTTGGTTAAAGCAAACAAGAATTTCTAGTTATCATGATAAGACTCGATTTTTTATAACTAGAACGTCTAATAGATTTTACTATAAGGATTTGATTAGTATTTTGTAGTTGAATCCATAAAATTTCTTGTTACATTAATTTCTTTGCTTGGCACTTTTAACTTAACTCGTATTCAATATTTGCCATGAAATGTATATAAATAACTAGTATTAACATTAAATCCAAAGTATATTTTTTTTCTCTTACGAGCAGTAAGAGAACGCTAGCTCTCTGATTGTGTGTTTGAACTGCATCCTCTTGCATCACTGTTTATTAATTTAATTTCTAACAAACTGAATTTAAAATAATTTATTAAATAATTTGGATTGAATTTATGCAATAATCGTGTTGGAATTCAGAATATTAAACAGATTTTTGAGATTAGATGGAAAAAATTTTAGACGACTTGGTGCTGGTGAGTTTAGTATTATTAACCAGAAAATTTGATAAATTTAACAGGAAGAAATTAATCAGATTCATCTGGTAATTCCTACAAGAATTCTGATTCATCCATTTTTCAACAGACATACTGATTGAATCTACCAGAATTCTAATTAGTGCAACCAGGTTTTTTTCTCAGTGCACTGTTTATCAGTTTAATTTCTAACAAACTGAACTTAAAATAATTTAATCAATAATCTGAATTGAATTTATGCAATAATCGTGTTGGAATTCAGAACATTAAACAGACTTTTGAGATTAGATGGAAAAAATTTTAGACGACTTGGTGCTGGAGAGTTTAGTATTATTAACCAAAAAATTTGATAAATTTAACAGGAAGAAATTAATCAGATTCATCTGGTAATTCCTACAAGAATTCTGATTCATCCATTTTTCAACAGACATACTGATTGAATCTACCAGAATTCTAATTAGTGCAACCAGGTTTTTTTCTCAGTGCACTGTTTATTAATTTAATTTCTAACAAACTAAACTTAAAATAATTTAATCAATAATCTGAATTGAATTTATGCAATAATCGTGTTGGAGTTCAGAATTCAGAAGTTTAGTACTATTAACCAGAAAATTTGATAAATTTAACAGGAAGAAATTAATCAGATTCATCTGGTAATTCCTACAAGAATTCTGGTTCGTCCATTTTTAAACAGACATACTGGTTGAATCTACCAAAATTCTAATTAATGCAATCAGATTTTTTTCTCAGTGCATGTATAATATATACAGAATGTCGATAGCACATTGTTGGTTTTTTCTTTGGGATCAGTGACACGCTCCTGGACCGATAAAGAGATATATAATAAGAAAGCTGACTCGTTGTTAAGTCGACTAGACTTTATAAAGTCGTATGATCCATTGACATCTCAAGATCCAACGGTTCAATAAACTCACTTCCGTAAAGGTCAGGGCCGTTCGGCAACGTGAACAATTATCCCAGCAAACTCGATATCATCTTTACAAGATAAAGTTAACTAAAGAATAACTGTTACTATGATTATATGCAATATATTTACTGTGTATATCTTGGTCCAATCAAGTGAATTACTCTATTGTGTTTGGGAGAACTTGGTGTATTATTCAGGTTTCTTTTGTCAGGTACTACTGACGTTTCCGTAATTTTATCTTATCAACAACTCTATAAATAAATCATATATAATAACTCTATATAAATCATATAATTATCAACTTAAAGAAATAGAAAAGATTAATAATCCTCGGAAAAAGAAGAAAAACATGTTTAATTTTTCATTTTTTAATCAAATAATCCATCATATTTTTTCTATGTTATATATTTTAAAATAACTGTTTTGAAATTTGGTTAATTTTAATGATGAACTTTCCTGAATTCTAGAAGCGTTTTTCTTTCGATTTACATAGAAGTGACCGAATTTTTTTAATAGGCTTCACTCCATAAAAAAATTATTAAAAAAATTTGACACTATTAATCCAAAAAAAAACGAGTATATCGCTAATTATCAGCGAATGTAAATTGGAAACAGACACGTCAGACCCAGGAGTTCACTTTACACACGCAAATCTATGAGCTCAGTTGCATATATTAAATATGTATCAGGCAAATAATTACTCAAATTTTAAATTTTTTTTTCTGCGATTTGCTTTTTTATTTCTTCTTTCTCAATAAATATATGTTTATACTATATTTATACACTTCCTTCCATTTTGTCCTATTTATGTATTATTTTGTGGCACATCAAAGAGATTATTTTTCTGATTGGAAAATAAATAAGTAAAGAAGTAAACTTCCTTTCATCAATTTTATGATTGAAGGAAAACCGTAGGAGGGATTCTGGAATTTACTTATTTATTTATTTTTTCAATACAAAAAATAGTCTTTTTTATGCGGAAATTAAAAATTTTCTCTCGAGATATTAAATATTTGTCCTGTGATTTTTTAAATATGTATCTATAAATTGTATACACTTGTATTTCTCGAATAATAATTAGATGGCATCACTATCGATTGATATTTGACGATCGTATTCCGTTCACAAAGTAAGCTTAAGCGTGCAAACTCCCGCGCTACTCTCTTATGTTTTTTTTAGATTATCGATTACATGCGTCCTTGATTTCGTTCCGATGAAAAATTGAAGGGAGTATATGGCCGGATAGTATAGATCGACAAATTCAAAGTCAAGGGTACTGTCGATACCATAAGATCGTGGCTGATCTATCTACACGTGGACGAGTTGTTTACAGCAGGGAGACATAGAAGATCGATCTCTCAGCTAAACAACAGACTAATCTTTCACTGTGCATCTCTATAATGTAAGACTGCTTTTCCGTTTATTAATTTAATTAATTAATTAATTAATTAATAATAGATAAATTATAATAGGTAAATTATTAGATTTATATTAATTAAATAGATTATATTAATTAAATAGAAAAATTAGAAGAAAGCACACTGATGTAAAACATCTGACAATCGAATCCAGCTGAAAAATTAAACAAGAAAGAATATATATAACGTATGCACAAATATACACATATGTCAAAACTTTAGGATTTATTGAAACGCAATTTTGTTTGTTCGTTATTTTTCCCCTCGAAAAGTTGGAAGCTTCTTTACATAAACAAACAAAAAACTGCAAATATGTACCACATGTATTAATTACATATTGAAATATGGTTTAAAACAGCCATAAATATGATTTGATTTTTCAATTTACATTCAGATTACGTATCTTTCGAAGAATGAAGCCGTAAATGGCAATCGATTTATTAACAATGGAATAGAATTTATTTATAATTGTTATTCATAAGAGAATCATAATAATTCGCCAATAAATATTATTGTATAATTGTCTAATATTTGAATTAAATCAGTGTTAAATTAGTTAATATTTGAGTTTTAATATCAGAATCCAATATTTGCTGATAAATTATCTTCTTCAATATACAGACAACTCAACAGAAAGAATAAATTATTATTACATTTATTATTAAATAATTATTACATACAATTAAAAATATATTCAGTCACAAATAAATTATCATTCATTCGTTATCTATTATTTTAATAACTTTATTATCTTAATAAGATATCTTTTGACATTAACGATACCCGTGCGATAATGTTATCTCCAACACATGCGAAATATAAATACATATATTGCTAAGCATTTGTCACGCACGGAATGTTCCGCTTTCGGAAGAAGTTCTGATAAAGCCTGATTATCGATCGCAAATGAGCAGTGCAGAGTTTATACTTGAAAAAAAAAAATATTTAATTTACAAATTTATCTTATATTTCCTTTTGTATTCAATCGGAAACACTTGAGATTCAATTTCGTCGAGTGAGTCCGAATCTCTGAATGCGAAAACAATCCTAACATGCTTACAGCCAAATAACTCATTACGCTCGTAAATTCCAGCACACCGAATTGCTGTGCACCAGAATTGCCAAACACCAACCAAGGTGCAATGAACTAGAGTACGTACCGTTATACGGAGATTTTCGACCGTTTATTCGTTTCAGACAGCTCGTTTCTTTGTCCACTGATGCTAATATTTGCATAGCATCGTCACAAAAATTTTTGGTTTTTTGAATTTGTTTTTTTTTTTTACATTTTAAAGCTATGTTTTGACATACGTATTGAAATGTTGTGTCAAAATATATCCGAGTTTGTTTATTCAAGAGGAAGATATTTTTGCTGCCTTTATTTTGGCTCCAATCAAGAATAGCTAATAATCGATGGCGGCAAATCCTTAAATTAACGGGGTTCATTTCCCGTTTCGGGTGCATAAATGCGGAAATGAATGTTGCGGTACGCGGGGCGCCTCATTCGCGAGAATCGATCGAACCTGTGAGGTAGGTAGTAGATATGACCAAGTCGACCCCATCCTAGTAGCGATACGGCCTAAACTGTCGAGGAATCCATCTATCCTCGAGCGCAGATTAAACGATCCCTCGCGTGCTGGAAGGTCTTGGAGTTCCTCGCGATAGCTCGGCCACTAGGTCACCCTTTTACCCTTACATTTGTAGGAGCCGCACCGCATGATACCGCAGAGCGATATTTTGATTTCTCACTGATTCGTTATTTCTCTTTTATAGATTTTAATATGCCCAGTTAAAAAAAAATAAAGCACTATTTAAGGATGTTTGATTTTGACCTATTTTCAAAATATTGAGAATTTCATGAAAATTGTACAGAATGTCCTTACATATGTTTAGAATCTTCAGTATAATTTTTAAATCGATTTACAAATTATAAGGATTTTAATTTGTACCGAATTAACACGTGTTCTTATGGGAAACGTATAGCCATGTCGATTCAAATGACAAAAACACACGGAAATAATATTCAGAATTTGTTTAAAATTTGCAAAAGTTTAGATACAGAGGAAATATTTGGCCAAATAATATT